ACTCCCGCTTAAGCGGGGCCTAAGGAAGGGTTGATGCGCAGCCTTAACCCCACATACGGAGAGACTGTTTCCGCAATTCAAACCCCCGACTACCAGGTCACCAAGGAGTAGCTTTACCGCTACACCAGGCCCGCCCTTCTATGTCTTATTGTGATGATGGAGAAACAAAATGCAAAACAAATAGCACTTATAATTCTTCTTCTTCTTCCTCTGCAATTCACAAGTGCAATTAGCCCTAGCACATTCTTTCTTTCTTTACATACGGAATGCAAGTGCCAAAGATACCTCATATCAGTCATAGAGGCCCTCTAGGTTATAACCATGTCCATTTTTAATGTGGCGAGTTTTGAATTGTTTCAAAAAGATCACCATGTCTCTTGTTCTATCCACTATCAAATGCTTAATCTGAGAGCAACACCTCAAAATTTCCCCAATGCCCTCTGTTGTCAAACTAAGAAGTCCATTAAGATTTAGAGTCTGTAAATTGGGGCAAACAGCCCCTACTTTTTTTATGAATTCATCATTCAGATACACAGAACAAGTCAAATCCAATGATCTAATTCGATAATTCCTCTTCAACTCCAAGTTAAAATCATCTTCAACTTGTGGCTTTATATTAGGCAGTCCAATTTTCGAAAGCATAGGACATTCTTTTGCAAGGATGAAGAACGTTGCAATGGTTATGTTTGAACACCGATTAAACTTTATGGACACGAGATTAGGAAGATACCGACATAAATCCCTCATGTAATTGTCAGTGAGGAAATTATTGAAACAAAGTGTCAAGTGTGTCAAAGATGGGCATCCACATAAGAAATTCGAGAGTCCATGGAAGCTCAAACCAGAATCATCGTAGATCAAAATCTTCTCTAATCGAATGCCCGATGTTGAAATGGAAGACAAAAGTCGGTCATGATCTTCTTTTGCTTCTAACACAAGACTGTGTAAAGATGTTGCATAAATCATGGAATTCTCAAAAGTAAACAAATCATCTTGTACTGTGTAATACGGTCCAGCATCGAGAGAAATCAAGTTTCAACTATTCCGTAGTACAAAAAAAAATGCCATGATCAGTTACTTCGCACAAACCACATCGAATTTCATGCAAAAGCTCACAATTTGAAAACAAAGCAATGAGAGATCGATCAGAACAACCAACTTGCTCTGCTATGTCTATTTTACGCAACCCTTGAAGCTTACGAGACATTACCTCGATCCCAGCATCAGTTACCATGTGCTTTGCGTCTCTTCTAGGCTTTGAATTCCACTCACGGTTCCAAAACTAGCCGGAAAACTGGATATCGAGCTCTTCAAGCTAGGGTAAAGCATCGGCTATAGCAACAAGGTGGTGATTTCGAAAACCCTTGACGCAACAACACCTTAGAATCTTCAACTTGTTCATGGTTGAGCCCAATTTCATAAAAGTTTTGGGAAAATGGGGGTTTTTTTTGTAAAGAACGGAGATAGAGGGATTGAAGATCCAACACTGATGAAGCGATTCTTCGAAGGGGGTAGTTGACATCGGCTTTGTCACCGAAGATGGGATCACGAAGCTCAATCTCTTGGAGGTTAGTGAATCGTTGAAGAGCTCTGAACAAACCCTTACAGTTATGGCTGTAGAACAATCTGTTTGGGACATTCAATTTGAGTCGAAGTCGATCAGTGATGGATAGGAATAGCTTGCAAACCAAAGAAGGGGATTGCAAGTGGTTGAAGTCATCAATTGCTAATTGATTCAGAATCAATTCCCAGCAATCTTCGGAGAGTTCCTTATAGAGGTGCTTCATGATTTGATTTCAAGAAACTGAAGTTCAACAAAAACAGATGATTTGTTATCGGCAAGAGAGTCGAGTATGAGATTAAAGAGAACCCTAGTTAGTTTGAAAGAAAGTTCCATACCAGTTAGTCACCTGGCCTTTTTTTTTTAAAAAAAAAAAAATCAAATTTATCGATAAAAAAAATTTTAAAAGTGGAAATTCGTGAAAAATTCACTTTAATAATTATCTAATGTATTAGGTTCAGTCGGTTTTGTTTATTGGTGAAAAAGTTTTGAAAATAATTTTGATTTTTTTTAAAATTAAGTAAGAAATTTTGATGTGATATTTGATATTTGATATTTGATATAAAAACTAACAACTCATAACCAAACATACAAATTAAAATTCTATTAAAGCACATAATTTTTTTTTTAAATTTTGGAAAATATTTTTTTCGAATATATAAAAATTAACATACCAATTGCAAAAAAAAGAAAAAAAAATTTGCACTGTTCCAGTCAACCGATTAGGCCAAATTTCGAAAAAAAAAATTGAAAATCACGCTCTCAAACAGAATTGTCTGCAAAGTTGTGAAAAATTAATTCCACAACCCCATCCAAACATCATATTCAAATATGGGAGTAGAAAACTCGTTTGAAAATCGTTCCAAATACTTTGTAAAATAATTTGGTAAGAAATTCTAGATAACATTTTATTTTTAATTTTACCCCTCGATTTTTTTTATATGTTTGACTTTTCGTTGACTATGTATTTAAATTTATATTCAAATTTTGTTGTTTATCTATTCATTTTTTCTATGTAAATTTTATATCAATTCAAATTTTTCTGTTCAAATTTTTTATCTGTCAAAATTTTATCTGTTCAAATCTTCTATCTATCCAAAATTTATCAATGTAAATATTCTATCTATCTAACTTTTATATATGTAAATCTTCTATCTGTCTAATTTTTTTTATCAATTCAATAGATAGCAAACAAAGCAATCTGTCCAAATTTTACCCAAACAAAACAACATGTCGAATTTTTGCCCCTTGTATTTTATATATCAATCACAATTATTGCAAAACCAAATAAAACAATAAAAAAACAAGAAGAGAGCGGTGAGAATCACATAGATAATAGATCAACAGATCAAGATCAAATCTTATCAGTTCAACAGATAACAAATTAAGATAAGAGAATCACACAGATAGTAGATCAACAGATCAAGATCAAATCTTATCAGTTCAACAGATAACAAATTAAGATAAGAGAACCACACAAAGACGGTCTTCTTAATATTGTTTGATCGATCATTGATCAATTAGTCTTTGATACTTTTCAGTTTGAATTCCTAGAACATACCATTATTCCTCTGACAATTGAATATCTCCACAAGAACTTTTTCAAATCAACCATTACTATCAAACACAATACAATTCAAAACAAAAACGTCAAGATCATTCAAAAATCATGCAAAATTAAGCATTCAATTAGTGTGTTTATCGCTATTGGAAAATAACATTGATTATTAATAGAAGCTTTAATTAGTACCAATGCATTCACTAAAATTTTCATTATAGAACAAATCATCTTCTGCAAACAATTCGAATCACAATTTCGCTTTGTTCTTGAGCTCGTCTGACTATCCGATAGTGTTGTTGATTAATCTGAGCCCTTTTGAGAGCTTTTTAAGCTCGATCTTGTCCGATCAAGTTTCACTTTGATTTTCCTCGCATCGTGAACCGAACCAGAGTCTAGTGGTTCATCAGCGTCTGATGACAACCTCAATTACGAGAATTTCCTCAGATGAATCTGAGCCCTTTGAGGGCTCTCCGAGTGCTGATCTCATCCGCTGAAGTTTTGATTTTATTATTCACTCTAAAAAAGTTGTGATTTTATTTTCCTCACATTAAGAGCCAAACCAGAGTTCTGCAGCTTATCGACATTTGATGACGACCTCAGCCGCGAGAATTTCCTCAAACAACAACTATGGATGAGCATGGTCCAAATTGGTCAGGATTGGGGTAAAACCAGGACCAATCCGTTATCTACGGTTCCTAAAAAATTGGAACCAATCCAATCCATTTAAATCATAGAACCAATCTGAACCAATCCATTTAAACCCAAATTAGATCGATTTAGGACCACAGATTCACATAATTAAATAACAAAAAATATATATATAAAACATTTTAATTTCATAAAAACATAAACATAGCATCATATTAGTTCCACAATAGCAACATGTCTTTTCATAATAGCGACACATTGCTTTAGAATTTAAACAACTATAAGAAAACTAGTTCCACCACAAGTATTTTGATCATTACAAATTCAAACTAAAAACCAACAAACAAAAGCAATAAAAGAAGATACTATGCAGGTTTAGGCTTGGGTTTAGGTTTTATATGGAATAAGAGAAGATATTATGCGAGAGGGTGTATAATATAAATATAGGGTATTTGTATATGGTTCGGAACTGTTCCAATCCAGAACCGATTCGTGGACTACGGATTTTTAATTTTTAAATCCGGAACCAAACCACGGGTTCAAAAAATCAATCCAAACCTACTGGATTGAATTGGACTGGATCGGATTACGAATTTGACGGATTCCTTGCTCAGCCCTAACAATAGCAGGAAGGGAAATTGAGAGAGAAATAATTGGGTTGGCAGCAACAGCGACCCATGCTGCTCTCGGGCAATAGCACTTTTGAATTGCGTTCATTGAATAATATCATCATCAAATCTAATCAACATAGAAAAAAGAAATCAAATCATTAACCAAGAAATATGAAGAAGATTTGAAAATCGTAAAGATGTTATTGAGAGGTGTTCTTCAGAGATTGACGATCACAAGATGAATCTTATAGCGATCCCGGGTTTACCCTTGTTGTATAGTGATCCGGACATGTGTCCGTGGATGTTGGTAGTTGTTTATTATCTTGTTTACATCCTTTCTTACTTTGTATTTGAGTTATAGGATGTGTTGACAAAAGCAATAAAAGAAGATACTATGCAGGTTTAGGTTTGGGTTTAGGTTTTATATGGAATAAGAGAAGATATTATGCGAGAGGGTGTATAATATAAATATAGGGTATTTGTATATGGTTCGGAACTGTTCCAATCCAGAACCGATTCGTGGACTACGGATTTTTAATTTTTAAATCCGGAACCAAACCACGGGTTCAAAAAACCAATCCAAACCTACTGGATTGAATTGGACTGGATCGGATTACAAATTTGATGGATTCCTTGCTCAGCCCTAACAATAGCAGGTAGGGAAATGGAGAGAGAAATAATTGGGTTGGCAGCAACAGCGACCCATGCTGCTCTCGGGCAATAGCACTTTTGAATTGCGTTCACTGAATAATATCATCATCAAATCTAATCAACATAGAAAAAAGAAATCAAATCATTAACCAAGAAATATGAAGAAGATTTGAAAATGGTAAAGATATTATTGAGAGGTGTTCTTCAGAGATTGACGATCACAAGATGAATCTCTTCTCCTTCATCATCATCATCATCATCATTTTCATCATATTTACCGCCTTCTAATGTTGCCTGAGAGGATCTCCTATCCGCTACTAATAAATCGATATCTACGAATCATGGCATCAGAGCAGCAGTGACACCATCAACGACATTCATTATCATCATCATCTCTGATCGTAGGAGAGAGAGAGAGAGAGAGAGAATTGAGATCGAGATATGAGAAGAGAGATGTCGCCAGAGCTACTTGGAACGTCGTCGCTACCGAAGAACGACCATTGACGGTGGTACAGTAGACGGCTGATGTCACGACCTAAACCTGCCCCTATGGGTTTAGCACTGTAATCGGCCAGTAATCCGAGATTACCGAAGGCCTGCTTAACAGTCAAACAGAATTACAGAGTACAGGTGCTGGCGGAAGCCAATACAGTAATTAAAATATGTCCAATGAGCAGTGACAGTCTGTATGCAAAAAGTCTTTTCATATATATACACATTAATAACAGAACAGTCTATACATACATGTACAATATATACAATCATTCAGGACAGGGACTTAACCCCTATCTAAAACAGTACAGTACAAAAACATTCAGTCTATACAGAACATAACCAAGAAGGGGGAAAACTAAAACACCCCAAAAGCCCTAGCTTGACAGGCTCGAAACCTCGCAGTGAGACAGAGTGGCTGGCTTTGACAAAAGGGAGCCTAATCCACGCTCCTAACTCCGGTCTGGTGCCTGAACACCTACATATATATATGAGTAGTGAGCTAAAGTCTAGTGAATAACATAATGCGCAAAGAGGTTAAGAATGAATGTCCTTTCAGTATTGAAAACAGTCAATTGATTTAGTGTATCAGTCATTCAGTCATAACAGTCATATGTGGTACATCCATTAGTAGAATAGTACAGTAAACAGTAGGTCTTGAAAGATCGAATAGTCAATGATGGCCATCATAACAGTAAACAGAAGTTCCA